TTTTTTTTGGTTAATCCTCACTGGAGGATATTTTTTCCATTGATTTTTAGAGAGAGTGTAAGTGGGGGAGGGAGGGAGGGAGGGAAAGAGAGAAAGAGAGAGAGAAACATTGATGTGAGAGCAACATACAGATTGGTTGCCTCCCACATGCACCCCAACCGGGGGTGGGAATCAAACCTGCAACCCAGGTATGTGCCCTTGATGGGGAATCAAACCCGAGACCCTTTGGTGCGCGGGCCGAAGCTCTAACCACTGTGCACACTGGCCAGGGCTATATCCAAGTTTCTTGACAGCAAAAATAACCTCTTGAAAAAAGCTCATTTTTTATTAGACCCTTAAGATTTAGAGTCCAAAGTGGCTCATATTTTAAAGGTTTTCTTTTCTTTAATATATATCTTATTTCATTGGGTGGTGCTCTATTTATTTATTTATTTATTTTTTAAGGAATCCATCTTCAGTAGTTTGAGAATAACAGATTTTCAGAATATTTTTGATAAGAAAAATGGATATAGATTTTTTATCAAATATCTGAAACCTAAAGGGATTAAAATATCTCCTATTTGTAGAGATGGATGAGTATAATCACTTTAGTAGAAAAAAAATGGTTGGCCTATTTCTCTTGTTTTCTGTTTGTTCAGCTATTGTTTAATTAATTCAAACTAGGTAATGGTTTAAGCTTTTCAATAGTTAATAGGAAAGCTTTAGTTAAAGTATAGTTTCAGTATAAGCTAAAAACCACTTTTTGCGTTTCCCTTGATACATTGTCTGTGTATGTATGTGAGTTTACATTGCTTAATATATGAACAGAAATTATTAGAATTTGAAGTATTAGAAAGAAGAATTGTATGGTTTGTATGGTTCTAGGAGCAGTGGATTGATTGTATAAAGGACCAAAAGGATTCCAGATAGCATATAAACCTCTGAAGTTGGAGTTAGCCAGGAAGTTTCATATTGTGGGTCCCTTAAGTTATGGGCATTGTCATCAATGTGGAGGAGAGTTTTTTAGCTGTACTGGTCATTTTGGTGTATAGCTCACGGTATATGATTGATTCTTGGTTTGCGATTGCCTGAGACCATGAAGAATAAAGGGGGGTTCTACCTGTAATCTAGGTCATATCAAAGAATAGAGAACTCAGACACACATACACGCATGTTTCTGTACAGACACACACAGTAATCTGCTTTGCTTTACATTCTTTGAATGTGGTTTCTATGACCCATATATGGAGAAAATAGAGCAATAAAATGTTGATTCTACCAAAATAGCCCTTTATAGGTGGTAGCAAGGTCATTTTAGATATTGGTGGTTCTCTTGGATATTAGTTGTTAACTTGTTTTCTATGTTTCCAAGAATAGTATCTTTGAATCTTTTTAGGTACAGCATGGCTTAAATTTATAGGACTACTGAGTTCAAGAAGAAAGCATAGATACTCTGTAGTTGAGTTACACTAACAAAATCTTAACTGCTGAATGTGATCTCATGTTTTTAACAGTTAAAACTAATACATTTTAGATACACAATCACACTTTTTAAAAATTGTTTCATTAGTGTAGGCACACAGTCATCATAAACTGATCCAGGACTTCGTCAGACCAAATCAGGTGGACCAAAATATTTAAATTAGAGCTTAATATATGTAAGTGATTGTAATTGTTATTGGGCATAGGAGACTGAAAAGTGTTTTGATGGACATGATCTTAGGATTTCTTTATTCAAAATTCAGAAAGCTTTTATGACTTTTTCATTTAAAAATACACATTAGTCTTTCTGAATTGAAAATTGGGCCCTTTTCAAGAGGTTTCTACTCTGTAACCCAGCTTATGATTACCATCAGTAAAGTGGTTATGTTAATATGGGATTCAGGGGAGGACAGCCTTTGTGGCCATTTTTGCCAGGCCATTACTCTAATCACCACAGTTAACCAACAGAGTAGGACAAAATGCAGTGCATTTTACCGTCCACCTTCTCTGGAGATTAGAGCCGTGCTTCTCAAACTTGAACGCGCACGTATGATTTCAGCTGGGAACACGCGAACGTGCAGATTCCAATCTGGTGGGTCTTGGAGAGGAGCCTGGATTCTGCTTCTAACAAGCTCTTACACGATGTTAATGCTCCTGGTCCCAGGACCACACTTAGCGTAAAAGAGCCCAGACTGTCTTTAGCTACCTTGTTTTCTCCGTTTTGAGGCAGAGACAGAACTGTCACTGTAATCCCTTCTGCGGGCTGGACCCTCACACATGGATTATCTTATTTGACCTACAGACCCTGTGAGGTAGGCGGTGCTGGAGGTTGAGGGACCCACTGATGCCCTCACACAGGCAGTGCATACAGAGCAGTGTTTCTCAGACTTGAATAATGCACGTCCCTTCCCATAAGGAAAATTCTCTTAGCTCCTCAGCTTTTACTTTATTTATGATAACATTATCTAAGTATATATAAGCATAAAGCTACGTATCACTGCCTTATGCTCGTAGCTCTTGCACAAGTGTAAAACCAAAAGTAGTTTACAGATCAGACACAAGCAAAACTATGAACTAATAAAATTTGAACTAGCATTAATTAAATATGATGGATGATGTTTTGTCAGAATAAAACTGTCCCTTGTAATGTGATTTGGTGCCGAGTGCTATAGTAAGAGTTCCTTTGAGTTCAGCGTGCGCGTATTGCCATGTGCTACAGCGGTGACTCAACTCTCCCACTGTTTTTCTCTGTTGGACTGTTACTTGCCTTTGTTGGGCACATAGTGATGTCGTTTGGGCTTCATCTGGCTTGAAGGCACCGCTTCCCTATCTGTCCTGCATAAGCCCTCCATAGCCAAGGCAGAGCCCTGCCTAATACACATGCAGTGAACACAGATGCGGACCTCGGCCCTGGAGCATTCTGGTAATATTTGGTTTTAAAGCATTTATATGGATAATTCAGAACATGAATATTAATTATTTAAAAAACTTTTAACAACATGAAAAAAAGTCTAAGTCTCATAGCAAACTCATGGGTCCCTCTCCCCCAACACACACACACACACACACACACACTTCCATCCCTCCCTCCCTCCTATCTCCCTACAAGAATTTAAAAATTTTTAAAACTAGATTTATTGGGGTGACATTGGTTAATAAAATTACATAGGTTTCAAGTGTACAATATAGAATACATCATCTGTATATCGCATTGTGTGTTCACCACCCAAGGTCAGATCTCCCGTCACCATTCATTTGACCCCTTTACCCCCCCTTCCTTCTGGCAGCCACCACACTGGTGTCGGTGTCTATGCGTTTTTGTTTGTTCACTTGTTGCTTTCGGTTTTGTATCCCACGTGTGAGTGAAATCATGTGGTTCTCGACGTTTTTTGTCTGATTTATATCCTCAGCATGGTACTCTCAAGATCTGTCTATGTTGCTGCTAATGGCAGTATTTCGTCTTTTCCCACGGCTGAGTAGTGTTCCGCTGTGTGTACCACACCTTCCCCATCCAGTCTGTCGAAGGGCACGTTCGTTGTTGCCATGTCTTGGCCACCGTAAATAATGATGCAATAAAATAGGGGTACAGATATCTTTGTGAATAAATGTTTTCAAGTTTTTCAGGTAGGTACCCAGAAGATCCCCACAAAAATTTGTCTTTGTTGTTAATCTTTACGCGAGGATAAATATATTTTTTTCATTGATTTTTTTTTTTTTTTTTGAGAGAGTGGAAGGGAGGGGGAGAGACACACAGAGAGAAACAGCGATGTGAGAGAGACACATCAATTACTTAGGTGCGTGCCCTTGACTGGAATCGAACCCGCAACCTTTCAGGCCTTGGGCAAACTGGCTAGGGCCCCCCACAAGAATTTTTACTGGTGGTTAGTAGTGTTGGTGCTTTGGCTTCTCACGTATCTGGGTTCAGACACAGGGCATATTTCCTGAACCTCGGTGTTTTCATGTATTAAATAGGGTTAATAATACTCATTGAATAATTAAGAGAAATAAATGCAATAATGTTCATGAAGCATGTATAGTAAGTGTTTATAAATAGTAGTGACTGTTGCTTTGATTAGAAATAATTAACATTTTGCTAAACTCTTTATATTATTTTATANATAATTAACTAACATTTTGCTAAACTCTTTATATTATTTTATATATTGAGTGGTAGAATCGGAATTCAAATCCATGTCTGACTCCAAAGCTCAAGCTCTTATGAAGAATAATTTAATATAGACCATCAATATCAGTATCAGTTGTTTATAAGTTTTTAAATCTTAAATTATATTTTCTCAATATTTGTTATAAAATTCATGTTTCTGTGGAGGGGAAATGGCTAAGGTTCCTTTTAACAATTGTGCAAATGTGCTAATAACCAAATTGACACAAAATAAATATAAATTTTATTTACAGGTTGTCCTGCTAGGTTGTGGCCCAGTAAAGGGATATTAGGGCCATTGGCTCAACTTGTACATTGTCTTGCGCATTTATGACCTGTAACTAATGACAACATGAGATTCTCCCAGATGTTATGGGTGGTTTACTTTAGGCTCATCCAATTCTTTAAAACTGGGAAAAATGGAAAGGCCTTAATTCTTGTGTCCTTCCCTCAAGGAGAGGGGCCAGTCCAGCATCATTCGCATTTGAGTTCAAACAGGCATGAGGCACAGAATTTAGCCCGAATTGTCAAATTACGCCAT